AAAGAAAATTAGTAAAACAATATATACCTCTTTTCTTGATGTTTCTAAAGGGCTTGTTGTATGTGTGTTGCCAAAGCCTGGTAGCTTGATTTGAAAGATATGTTGTTTTTCCTTATGTGTTTGACCAGGTTTACTTTTTCAAAAAAATTGTCAAAAAAGGAAATTTTTAGGAAAAAGGAGGATTAGCGGAAAGAGTTTTTTTTTAAAATTTTAATAAAAATTATATTAATATAAAAACAAATAAATAATTATATATATAATAATTTTATTAATTTAAATTTACTAAAAATAAAATTTTTAATATAAAAGTAAAAAACTATTTTAAAAATTTAAATACCTACATAAGTTTCAATAAATATATATTTTTTTAAAAAAAATATATTAGTTAAAATTTATTTAATTAAAATTAAGCCAAGTTAATTTAAATAAATTTATTTAACAAGTTAAATTAAATCAAATTTGAATTAAATTAAACATAGATCAAATTGGATTTGAATTAAATTAAATTAAATTAGATTTGAATTAAATTAAATTAAAACAAATCCAATTTAACTTGATTTATATTTTAAAAATTAAATTAAATCAAATTTTGTTAAAATTTAATTTAATTTGATTTATTATAATTAGATAAAACCTTAATTAAAGATAACTAAATTATTAATATAAAGCAGATAGAATTTTTTATACTATTTGGATTTAGATTATATTGTTTTATAGTGATGTTAAACTTAGAAACAATATTTAATGATATAAGAATATTATTACTATACTATTAATTTACAGATTAAATAATATTATTATATTTTTATTTCTTGTTTTAAGTTTCTTAATATTTTCTTAAATTTTGCAAATCTTGAGTTTTGATTAATTTACTAGTTAAAATTATTATTTATAAAGTTTTTTTAATAGTAGAAAAGTATTTATTTTATATTGATTTAATTAAAAGCTAGGATAATTAATATTAAAATTTTTTATTTATTAAAATTTAGTTTTTATGTTTGCTTTTTTTTATCTATATTTATAAGAATATTAATAATTTGTTCAAAATACTTATTTATAAATTATTTAGATTATCAATAAATTATATTATTAATTTTTTTTATTTTTTAAGAGCATGATGATTTTTTATTTGGTTTTATTTTTTTTAAGAAAATTATTAAGAAAGAAAATTTTTTTAGAAAAAAATTGTTTAACAAAAAGAACTTTTATTTAATATATTAAAAAAAATTTTATTATTAAAATTTTTTTAATATTATCAATAATATTAATATAATATTTAATTATTTTTTTTTATCCCATAATTATGCCACAATGGCTTGTCTTTATTGAAAAATTAAAGTAAATTTACAATATTTTATAGACTTTTACAAAGTAACTAACTTGTCTTTATATAAAAGTACTCTAAATCAGATTTTGGAGACAATATTATATTTTTCTACTACTAGGATCATTGTCAACAGTTTGTCACTATTAATTGCCCAAAAATCAATAAATTGCTAAATTAAAAAAGGGAAAGAGAAAAATGATTGGGAAAAGAGAACAATTCAAGATCCATAAAAAAAATTCAAAAATAAAAACAATCTCTTCTCAAAAAAGATCTACCTGATTGGGATAGTCTTCTTGCTTCACTTGAACCTTAGAAAAAATCTTCTTTTTCATCACTTGTGGCATCAGATGAGTCAATCCAACTGGTTTTTCATTTAAGTAAGTACTGGATTGGGATATCTCAAGGAAAGTATTTAAATCTCAGCTTTTTTCCATTAAAGCTTTGTCACCACTTGAGGAATTTAGGTAAGAGATGGAAGTTTGCAATCCACATTACCCATCACTTGGTCTTTTGATATCATGAAGTCTTCATTAAGAGACTTAGAAAGTAAGTTTTTGATCAAAGAGATTGCAAACAAGTAAAAAAATAGTATAATGATAATCCTTGAAAAAACTCTTCAAGTTATTTTAAAGATAGTATTTTATTCAAAAATTCTAAAGACTTTTACAAATGTCTTTTTGTGTGTGGTTATAGAATTAGTGGAAAAAAAGTTTTTTTTTATTTTTATATACTGTGTTATATTTAAATAATGATAGTTTCACGAAAAATTAACGTAGACCATTACTGTTTCAGAAGTTTCGCGAATTTCGCTTGTGAAAATTTACGTCTCTTATTTCGAAGTATTGTACATGCTTTTACTTTTATACGTATCAATATTAATTTTCGGGGCGACTATTTTGAGAACCGAAAACTTCCTGTCCATCTTCAAGATTACTCCACACGATCTTTTTAATTACATAAAGTGTTGAGACTGTAGTAAAATTTCTAATTTATTTATTAGTAATTGATCATTTTAGCTGACATCGCATTTTAACTCTCTTGGTGTTCAGATAATGATTAATGAAATATTTTATTAATATTGTGCTTTTTTGTAGATTATAAGTAATAATTTTTTAAAGGGGTGTGTATGTAGAAGTAGGAGATAGATTATATAAAGAGAGGTCATTTACTTTAATTTTAATCTCTTTTTGTAACTCGAAAAACTTCGTATTCATCCACTGAAAAACGTCGTGTTGCGTGCCTAATTTCTCTTTCATAGTACATTTGAAAACATAAACATTTACAATCATCTCTAAAGTTTCCCTCCATGCTTAGATCACCTCGAAAATATGGACCGTAATGTTTTCCTGATTTAATTGATTCATGGTTTTTTGCCCTACTAATTATCGAATTTCTCGCATTGTGAAGGTCTATTCTGAAAATAAAACTCTTTTTCGTATAGTAATAATTTGACTCGGGCGGTGATTCCCAGCTAAAGGGATTAAAACCTCCTAGAATTTCTCCCGACTCTTTTACTTTTAAAACCGTTAAAGTGGGACCTTTGTTATCACACTTTTGGTGGAAGACTTCTGGTGTAAACCCATCCCGACTTCCACGAACGAGTAACTCAAATATGTAAGGAAAATTCTCGGTTGTGTAGACCTTTTTAGAACGAAAGAATTTTGGAATATACTTAACCGGATATTTATCAATCCAGGTAGAAATAACAGCAAAATGGTCTAATCTAATTAAAACCGATGAATTTAACACATCTAATAAACTATCCTCATCAGGAGTTTTAATTCCTTTACTTGATAAACTGTCCTCAGCAGAACTTAATGAAGGAGGATTGATGCTGACGTTTATAACTGAATCGGAAGTCTCAGATATTGATACATTATCACTTGAATCTATGTCCGTCCCTTCCGACATCATTTCACTCAAGATATCAAAAACCTCTTGACTTGTCGGACGTTCCTCTGAATTCTTATCCCAACAACGTGTGTACAGTCGAATATATTCTTCTGGTGTGTCCTCTACCGGGGCTTCTCTTTCTCCTTGATAAATTTTAATGGTCATTTCATCTCGGTTCAGATTTTGGAAAGGAGGACTTCCACTCGATATCTCCCAAAGAATAACACCCAAACTATATATGTCAGATTTCTCGTTGCGCTCATAGTTGCGATTAAAAAGATATCCCGGATCCATGTAGGCAGGTATCCCGTGACCTAAGGCATTTGTAGATACATCAGGTCCATTTACCCATTTTGATATGCCAAAATCAGCTATTAACATTGTCTCATCGTGAACCAGCACGTTCTTTGAATGCTATTAAGAATGAAAAAAGATAAGGAATAGAATAAGGAAAGCAATTCAATAAACATGTGATACTTACAAGATCTCTGTGGATGATTTTACAGTTATTCGTATGTAGGTATATAAGGCCTCGCGTTATTTCTTTTGCGATACGCAGTTTATCATTCCACGTGAGCGTTTTAAAATTCTCTTTTAAATAATCTCTCAAGTTACCACCATCCGCGAATTGGAGAATTAAAAAGTAATGCGAGTTGCGAAAATCTTTTGCGACTCCATAAAATTGGTTAATGTTAGGATGATACTTAATTTGGTTTAAAATTTGAAGCTGCAAATTAAGAACGCACCAAGTTAAAATAATATGTGTAAATTTTACAGATAATAACCGAATATTCCAAACCTCTTTAACGAATCCTCTGACGAATTCTTTGCTTAGCTCTTTCTTTAAGCTCTTTAGGGCAACTGTTAATCTGCGAGTCTTCCAGTATGCTCTCTCTATTGTACAAAACCCACCTTCTCCAATTTCTACAAAGTCGGTGAATTCATTATAATCATAAAGAAGAATATTGTGTCCTTTAATAATATTATCGATTAAATCCATAATTTGCAACTGCAAGAAAAAGTTAAAATCCCTGCGATCCAATTCACGCCAAATGGATTTGTTTCACGGTATTTAGCCTCATTTAAGGTGAACACATGATACTAAACTAAGTTTGACGCATATAACGTAATACTATATTATCTGCTGATCTTTTATTTATGCTATTGATAATACAAATTAGGGCAGAATAATGATGTGAATTAAGCATATGTGCTATGATGTACGCAGTTAGATTTAGTTAGATTTAAATGCGTTGATTACTTGATTGATAGAATTATATATTTTATTATTTATATTAAAATAGATCATATTTAAAGCTATAGCCATTCAAAAAAATTGGAATAGCCTTATTACCAAACAAACCTCTCACTAGCTAATTTTTGTTTAATCTGAATAATTACTTTATATATAATTTTTTATTAATATAGAAATAATTTTTATATAGTTTAAAATAAATAAAGTTATTAAAAGTAAACTAGATATGAAACAAAAACTTTTTAATAAAACTTTACATTCTTTATATTGTCTTTATATAATTAATCTTAAAGAATAATAAGATTTCATTTCAATAAAATTACTTATAAATATATTAGTTAATAATAAAACTTAATTTAATTATATTTACTTTATAATTTATTGTATTTTAAAGATAACTGACTTATTTTTTCGACTTATATTAACCTAAAGATATAATATAAAAATATGTTCTTATTTTATTATTTTAAAAATTTTTATCTATTGATTTATATATAAAATAAATTTATCAATAATTATTATTCTTTATAAAATTAATATCAAATTCAAAAATATATTTTTCATATAATATATAATAAATCTATCAAATATATTTGAAATAAATTTTATTTTAAATCTATAAAAATTAAACAAAAAAAAAAACTCTTTCTACTAATCACTTTTTTCTTAAAAATTTCTTTTTTAATAATTTTCTTGAAAAAAAGAAGCCAGACTAACATACTTTACTCTTCAAAAATCTAAGACTTAACAATAAACTACAATACTTAGTCACTTTCCCAAAGATTATTCTATCAATAAAAAAAAATATAAGTAGTACAACATTATCTTAGCTCTACTTTACTTTATTTTATAAGGGAAAGAAAATACATTCACAAGCTGATTCATAGTAAGTTTAAGAAAATTCAATATCAATTTTTCAAGTTTTTAACCAGGCCAGTTTTAGTTTATATCTTTTTAGATACTAGAAAGAATTTTATTAACAATAGTTCTTACTAATAAATCAGAAAAAACTTAAAGTTCATAAAGCCCAAAAGAATATCAAAGACTTTTAAGAACTAAACAATAGAATATTCTAATTCTATACATACCTATTTAAATAATAAAACAAGTTATATAAACATATATGTGTCAAATAAGTTAGTATTAAAACAACATAGCAAGGTTCATCAAGAATCTATAAACAAATGGTCCATTTTTCACAACAAAGAAAATCAACAATTATTCCAGTAAACAAGCAGATCAAAACAAAAAGGATTAATAACTCACCTGAGTAAACAATATTTTAAACAAGACAATAAATAAGCAATCTCTCAAATCTTGCTAAATTTAAACAAACAAAAAAAAAGAAAGATAAACAAAGCAATAAATTAACAATTTATTCTTCTTTATATATAACCAATATGACAAAAAAATGAAAAATTATACAAATTGCAAAAAAGAAAAGCTCTATATTCTCAATACAATAATCAAAATAGCTGAAAAACATGACCAGAGAAAAAAAAATAAGTTACTCAAATTATCTTCAACAATCTCACTACACAAAACAAGTTCAATCAGATATCAGAATCAATAAAATACTTAATACTTGATAGTATTCATGCAAAAATCTTAAATATAGATTCAACTATATTCATTAAAGCTAAGGTCCTCAAACAATATATTTTATATTTATAAAAAATAAATTTTTGGCTGAAAAAAAACTCTTTCCGCTGATCCTCTGCCCACACACAAAAAAGATGTTCGCAAGAAATTTTTTATTTCTTTGCTAA